GCACACTGGTACTTTTATCCATAAGAAGGGATCCCCTTTCCTATTGGGCTTACTGCTGACATTTTGTGCAGTTCTGGGGTGGAAGATGTCACTTACTGTAGTTTGTTATTGGCTTTCTTGATCATTATTCAGTCTAGAGTGAACTTTTGGAGTAGGTATGGGGGAGGTGGGTAGGCTGTCTCCAATTCAGACAGCCATCTTGGCAAGCACTCTTCCCACTGATTTCAATGAGAATTGGGGACAACCAAGGAGAACTTGACTTAACCAGTAGATATGTTAGAATGTTTCTTTTAACATTTTTTTTGTTGATTTCTCTTTGCCTGCAGCTACTAATCTTTATTTTTATCCTTTGCTCAATTGATGAGAATTCTTTGGGGCTTTTTCTTGTTATGGACTATTATGTTTTAGATTTAAGTTTCCTCCCTTCCTGCAATTGGTGCGACAACTTTGGGCATGGGTTCTCAAGGCTTCTCATAGGGGAAGATGACATACATGCTGGTGTACTAAGGGGATCTGGGAAAGTGAGTCATCCTAACACTAAAGGAAGCTGATGCATACATTCTGGTTTCTAATTGTAGGGCTGCTTAGCTGACCCTCTTTTATCTCACCTTCCATACTTTGGAAACTTCTTCCACCTTTTCTCTCCCTTCCCACCCCAACGGTTTGGAAATGGAAAGCCAGCGTCCAAATGGGGAGGCCTTTTAGGAAGGCTGCCAGTACAGCCTTGGTCCTACAATTTCTCTGCCTTCCTTTCAGTGACTCCAGCTCCTACTTAAATTAGGCAAAAATGTAGCACGTGGCTTTGAATTAAGACAAGAATTTGGGCTTTCATAATCTGAGCCACCTCAATAGGGAAGCTAATTTGTATGGAGTCCATCTTTCCTCCTTCAATGTAAACCACTAGGCATTGCTTTTTTTCGTTTCCAGGGAACTGAATACTGAGAACAGACTGCTTAGTCACAGCATTAGCTGGGGCTGCTCTTGGGAACAGCAGGAAAAGTTGGGGTGAAGTGTAGCATTCTTCTGAGGCTCTTTGTGCAGGGTGACACATCATACACCAGAGTTGTCCCTGACCTTGAATTTTAAAGAAGGCTTTAGAATTCCTTCCTGAAGTGTAAACTTCCTTGATCAACTCTTAACTACCCACAGACTCCCAGAGAAGAAAATCTACATTTTTCAGAGGACCTGAATATACAGGCTAGTATTGCTGATTGTGAATGCAAGGTCTCATTTTAACACATTTAATGAAACTTTGCCTAGGTACCAATGACAGGTACCATTCAGCAGATGAGATACAGTATCTTTTAAAATTGTGTCTGGCCAAGTCCATGCCAGGTCAGCAAAGAATTTCTGTAAGTCACTTTCTATAGTCCCTTGTTTTTAAATCTTTGTTGTCTTAAATGTACATATAACCTACAATGCAGGGTGCACAAAGGTGACTCACTTCATAAAATAAAGGCTGCTGGGTAGAATGGCTAGTAAAATGATAGAAAGGCACAGTGGGTAGAATGGTAGATTTGGAGTCAGGAAGACTGGAATTAAAACCTTTCCTCAGATGCTTATTCTCTGCCTCATTTCTTACCTAGCCTTAATTACTAAATAGGCGTTACCTAGTCAAACTGAGACCTGTTATAGACCTTAGCTTAAAAAGGCCAAAATCTCCCACTGTATCCAGGGCCATCACCAGTCATTCTGATCTATATTTTGTTACTGGACTCAGGTGGCTCTGGAGGAGAAAGTGATGCTTGTGACTTTGCACAGCCCTGCCTTACTGAAATCCAATTCACTTGCATGTCATGGCATTACCTCACCTCCCTGATGTCATGGTCCTCTTTGAGAACAAAGGACAAATAACAATAATTCTCTGGGTGACACTGGGCAGGTCAATCAATCACCCTCAGCCTCAGTACATATACCTGTATGTCCATATGTCATTTTGCAATTTTTAAAGCACGATCTGAATGTTAGCTCTTTTTGAAATACAATCTGCAGTTACAGGATTCAGCAGAACTATGTTCATAAGAAATAGATTTAGTACTTTGACCCTCTCAATTTGATGTTCACTCTTTCCTAACAGGTATATTTCACCACAACTCTGTAATGAAGATGGTCTAGGTATGTTGTAGCATCATGTAATTCTTACCCAGTCTGTGGTTTGAAGCCAAAAGTTGGAAGTTCAGAACTAAATTTGGAAAACCATATTTAAAATGAACTTGTCAAGATTTCAGTTAACCCAGAGAACCAAAACTTCATATTCTAACATTAATTTAAAAAGCCTTAAGCTCCGCCTCAAACACACAAAGATAACTGTCTGAGAATTAAAATTTGGTTTAAAAAATAAGCCATTGCTGTTTTTAGATGTTTGAAGCTTCATATAGAAAGAGAATGCACTGTTCTCCTGATTCTATAAATGTTTCTCAAAATATGATAGGGCAATGATTACACATTTTCATTTTAGTCCAGAAGTGTGATTTCCTTCGTATAAGGAACTCCCTATGTAGAAATTCCTTCCGCTCATGCATCTTGCTAACTTATCTGTAAATTACAGTCTTAGAAAGCCTCCTGGCAGTTTTCAAAGGAAGAATTCTAAGCTATCAATGACCACAGGAAAAGATGCTTCTAATCAATACTAATTAGAGAATTGCTAATTAAAAATCCACTCTGAGGTTCGATCTTATGCTCTTCACAGTGGCAAAGATGAAGAAAAAGGAAAATAACAAATGCTGGAGAAGCTGTGGGAAAATGGGCAAATGAATGCACTCCTGGTGGAGCTGTGATAGTCTAGCTATTCTGAAAATCAATTTAGAACTATGCTGCAAAAGTCACTAGATTGTATTGACCATTAGACCAACTATAGCCCTAAGCCCTAAAGAGACCAAAGAAAGAGGAAAAGAACCCATGTAAACATTAAAAGAGGGCAGTGGGAAATAGAAATAATAAATGCTCAGGAAGAAAAATTAAGAAACAGAAGTTGCCTGGGTGCACTGAGAACTTAAATAGCTTGCTCATGGCCAACATGGCCAATAAAAGTCAGAGAGGTGACCTGAACCCAGGTTTTCCAGATTTCAGAGCTGGTTCACTCTCCAAGCCACCTTTTTTCATGCAATCACCTGCACCAAGATCTTTAGGGTTCCAGAGCAGAAGTTGTCTTATCACTGCAGTCTATGTTTGAATGTTGGACTGGTTCTTAACTAAAGCTCTTCTGCTTTTCTCTTTTCTTTTCCCCTTACCAATTCCCTCCTGCCACTAGGTGCCAGGTGTTCTGGAAAATGCACAGCTGTGTACAGAATCATTGCCAATCAACCAAGCTATCCAACCACAGACAGGTGGCTATTAAATTGTAAACTGTAAAGTATAAAGGGCTGAATAAAATGGAAGTTATTATTAGTATTATTGTATTAGTATCGCCAGAAATGTCCTCTTCAAATTGAGATGATGATTTAGCTATCTTAGGGCTAAATGGACCAGCTTCAAACTACCTCTCCCAGTGAATGGGAGACTAAGTCTACATATGGTGGAGCCTGAGGACCAGAGAGACCTTTTATTCAAAGAATGACCTTCTTTTGGCATGTTGGGAGGCATTTGATTGGACAATGTATGGAAAATTATCTTCCTTAGCCACTAATTAATTTTTTTTCTTGGACATTCAGTTATTTTTTTTTTCACTCTGATGGAACTATGGAGAGTTGAGATTCTTGAGGCAGGAACTATACTTTATATTTTCAGCACAGTGTCTGGTACATAATAGCCACTCAATAATTGGTCTTTAATTGATTGATAGTGGAAAGAGAACTGGATTTGGAATCAAGAGATCTGTGTTTTCAATCTCAGCTCTGCAATTTACTACCAAGTGAACCTTCCTGTACCTCAGTTTACCCATATATAAAATGAAGTGACTGGACTATGATATCAGAGGATTATATATTTAGAGCCTGAGTGGACCTTAGAGGTCATCTAATCCAATTATTCATTATTACAGATGAGAAAACATAAGTTTTGAGAGGACAAATAACATCTCCAAGGGCACACAGGACATGGCAGTCAGGATTTGAATTCTGCTCTTCTGACCAGGGCTAGTTCTCCACTGCTCCTTGTCTCTAAAGCTTCTTCCAGCTCTAAATCCTGTGTTTCCAGTGCTTGGTACCAGTGTGCATGGGGACAAACACAGAGATAAATGTGCATGTATAGAACAGGCTCCAGGGCAAATGGAAAGGTTGAGGCAGAAGGAATTCTTAACCTTTTGTGTTACAGATCCCTTTGACAACCTGTTGAACACTATGGTGCCCATCTGGAAATAATGTCTTTAAATGCATATAAAGTACTTAGTATTACAAAACAAACTAATTATATTGAAATACAATTTTCAAAATATTGGGGGGGGGGGGAATGCTCATGGTTCCCGGGTTAACAACCCTGGATGTAGGAGAATTGAGTAAGACAGCAAAGTGAACTGTTTTGCATTGTAGATCTTGTATCATTTACCCTCACCAAGTTCATTTTCTGTTGCTTTAAAGAGATTTTCAGCAATTTGTTGAAACAATCAGAGCTTGCCTGTCAACTGTCAGGGGCGGTAGGACCTGTTGATGAGGAGGGGGGAGTCCATGGAGAATGGGCTATAGGCAAGTAATTTGCTTTTTGGCAGGCACCAGCTGCATTCTGATTACCATGCATCATTGCGCTTGCACGCTTATAATTCAAATTCCTGGACATGACAACGATCACAACAGACCTTATAAGTGAGGCTCCCCCAACCCCACTCTCTGGCCTGGACTGGCTGACAGCTAGATGCAGTTAATACAAGACATTCCTCAGAGGGATCTCTTTCCTTATCTTTACAGAGAGAGGATCCTTCCTGGTGCTGTGCATGACTTAATGAGTAGGGCCCTAAAGCACCGTAGGTGAGGAAGAGAAAGCCGGTGCTGCTGCTCCCAGCCCTTTGCCTCCTGGGAGAGGCTGGAAAGGAACAGGGGCACGGATGTTAATGGAACTGACACACGTACCTGAAAACATCATCATGTGCTGAAAGTTCCAGGGGATCTTCTGTTTCCGGCCCAAATTCAAGATGAAGGAGAGGGGATAGATGTTGCAGGCTCTTGCTATAAAAATTGCTAACTGTCAGGCAAACGCAAGAGAACGTTGAGGAAAACATGGTAATGAGGGGAAAATTATGACACCCGTTTTTGCCAATATATCATCACACACACATATTGGGGATAAATAGGGCAGTAATCATGAGACTGGTTTCAAAAATTCCTATTTTGCTATGTTCCTGATTCCACTCCATGAATATCACAGACTGCTGGACGGCTTTTGGACATGGCCTTGTCCCTATGCTGTTTCAATCACTCTCCATTTCCTCGTCCCATTTGTATCTCAGACGACTGACATCTTCTGCCTTGCTATAAAATATGAAACATGAGTCGCTCGACTGGAAACAGCATTACCTCCCCAAGCAGCACTTTAGGGAGACTCCATGTACTTCGAGTCATGATTACCATTTCATTTGCTGTCGGTTTATATTGTCTGTGTCTAGCAATCTTTTTTGCCTCTTCTTTTTTCTTTGCTACATTTAATTTTTTTGTTTTGGTCGGGTTGGGCTGTGCTTGTAATACTAAAGCTGTTTTAATAGACACTCTTGGATTCTAGGCCTAGCAGTTAAAAACCGACACACAAACATATTCATTTTCTTATGTATTTGCATCATTACCACCTGCCTAGACTACTGCAATAGCTTCCCCCTTTGACTCTCTACCCGTCTCCATCCTTCATAATGCTACCAGATTGAATTTTCTTATGGTTTTGTTTTTAATTTTTACACTTAAAGTTTTATCGATATGTTTTGTTTATACGCTACCAACATTTGCAGATTATTCACATGAGAGTTTTTTTGTAACAAAGCAAAACAATTAAGTAAAAATAGAGAGAAAATAAACATTTATATAGCTCCTACTGTATGCCAGGCACTATGTTAAGTACTTTATAAATTTTATCTCATTCGATACTCACAGCAATCTTGCAAGATGGATATTATTACTCCCATTTTACAGTTGAGGACACTGAGACAGACAGTGGCTAAGTGACTTGCCTAAGCACACATAGCTAGCAAAGTTCTGAGGCTGGATTTGAACTCAGGTTTTCTTGATTCCAGGCTCAGAGCTCTCTGCACTATGGCGCCACCTAGCAGCCTTTACTAGTAATACAGGGATCTCGCAGTTCTTATGCATCCATATGGGTGCTGGTCAGGGTTACACGCGTAGTAACTAGCAGAGTTACATTGTCTAGACAAATTGGATTATTCACAGTCTGCTGTACTTTCCTACTTCTGGGTATTTCATTGGGTGGGCGCATCAGCTCCCATGGGTTCAATCGTCATCACTGTGCTGCTATCTCTCAGGTATATCTATCCAGCCCTAATCTCTCTCTTGAGTCCCACATCACCAACATATTATTGGACGTTATGAACTGGATGGCATCTCGAACACAATATTCCTAAAACAGAACTCTTTATTTTTTGCCCCATCACTAGCACTTATCATGACATCTTGAATATAGTGAGGGCTTAATAATACTCCTATATCCAAGCTATTGCCAAAACTGTTGATTTTGCCTTTTTATCATCTCTTCAGTATGCCCCCCTTCTCTCTAATATTGCCACCACTATGGTACAGTTCCTCATTACCTCGTGCCTTGGTTATTGAAATGGCCTGCTGGTGGCTCAAGTCTCTCTACACTCCAATATATACTCCATTCAATCACTAAAGTGATTTTTCTAAAATGCAGGTCCAATCATGTTATCCCCCTACTCAGTAAATTCCAGTGGCTTCCTATTGTCTCCAGGAACAGATACAGTATGCTCAATTTGGCATAAAAAGCTCTTCCTAACCCAGCCCCCTCTTACCTTACATCACTGGTCTCCTGGCTGTTCCATGAACAAGACATCTCCTCTCTTGGCTCTGGGCATTTTCTTTGTCTATCCTCCATGCCTGGAATGCTCTCCCTCATCCCCTTTGACATTGATCTCTCTGGCTTCCCTAAAATCCCACCTTCTACATGAAGTCTTCCCTAACCCCTCTTAATTACAGGGCTTTCCTTCTTTTGATTATTTCCTATTTATTTTATGTGTAGCTTGTTTTGTATATATTTGTTTGCATGCTGTCTCCTCCATTAGATTGCAAACTTCTTAAGGGCAGGGACTGTCTTTTCCCTCTTTTTGTATCCCAGGCACTTAACACAGTGTCTGACATATAGAAAGTGCTTAATAAATGTTTATTGAATGAATTGAATATGAGAGACAACCTATATAAATATATTGAATGAATGAATTGAATATGAGGGACACTCAAATAAACTTTTGTGAGCAGTTGTGAAGCTTAACTATAATGATGGCCAAGACATTTTTCCTTATACCCAACCTGATTCTACTTGTACATTAAGCCTAATTTCCCATGACCTGTGCTCAGGGAATATGAAGAAAAGTCTTTAACTTTCTCTTCTGTAGGGTACAAGTTACTGCAAGTTCTTTTATCTCTGCTTTAGGACCAATTCAACTTTCCAACCCTCTTACTTTGAACCATTAAACCCCAACCCGGCCCTAAGCTTCTTGTATTTTCAGTCACTTAAGTAAAAGATATGACATTTCCTCCCTAGATTTGAACTCAGGCCATGAACACTAGTTAACAACTTGAATATTTATTTCCTCCCAAGAATCAGACTGATAAGCCATTGACCCCTTCCACTAAATATCCAGTGGGTTGCACTTGAAAGCATTTTTAGTAAAGGATACGAATGCCCCGAGTATAAAAAGAGCGTTAAATATGTGATTCTGGAACGTGAATAGCGCCAGGCCCATGTAGCAGAAGATGACATTCTCCGCCAAGAAGTTCATGAACTCAAACAGCTGAAACACAACAAACCAGGACCATTAATCTGGACTCTGCTCCGCAGTGACTTCATTTTTACTGTTGTGGTCTTCAAGGATGCTACATGGCAATGGTGAATCCCATATGGCAATGGCAAATGCCACCACCCTCAATAAAGAGTCATCCCTGTTAGTAAGTCAAAATAATTGCAGTGAGTAGGAATTGGGGCCTAGAGAAAGGGTAATAAGAATAAAGTGACTGACGTCTCATGTGGCACTTTCCCATTGTTACACATAGGAGCCTCACAGCCATCCTGTTAGGTAGGCACAGGATACAATGGTATCCCCATTCTATTAATTTTATTTTATTTTCAGTTCCAAATTCTTTCCCTCTCCCCACTCTCTCCTCTATCCATTGAGAAGAGAAGAAATACAAAATCTGTTATAAATAATAAGGTATGCAAAACAAATATCCCCATTGGCCATGTTATTCTCATTCTATAGATGAAGAAATCGAGGCTTAGAGAGGCCCAATGACTTGCCTAGGGTTGCAAAACCATTACGTGTTGCAGGCAGGATTTGAACCAAGATATCTCCTGACTCTAGGCCCACTCTTCATTTCACAGTTTTGGAGTTAGCTAAGGAAATAGCTAAGCCAGGACTGGAGCTACCTAGCATACATGGTGGTTAAGTAGCCTGCCCTTGAAGACCCTAAATTTTCACAGATTCTAATTCAAGAGCTCAGACCACATTTTTTTCCTTGGATGTCACTTAACTCGAAGGATGGACAAGTGTAGTTTTCACTAAAAAACATGATAATGATCAATATATTTCAAACCCAAGAGAAAGAGGCTCATTAAAATGACTGATGAGGGTACATTCATTAAATGCTCATAATTTCTAGCTGGTAAGATGTCAATGACTCATTCCAGGAATCTGTTAACCACTTTATGTGGCAAGAACACATAGGCATATCAGAATTTATGTTGCTAAATGGGCTAATAAGAAGCTGTATTGAGGAATGTTCCCAAAAGCTGTCCTGAGAACATTCACTAAAACATTTAAGGAGAAAATGGAAATTATCTCCCCTCTGCCAAATAAAGGAATAATATTGAGTTGTCCACAGGCCACAGTAAAGTACAATATGAGAGAGGCCCTTTATGTTCTGGACTTTGTACTATCAGCTTGTGAAAACTCATCTTCATATACAAATTGTCATGTTAGGTAAGCATTTCTGCAGACATCCCTCTTGACTGACCAAGTATTATTTATTTTTTAGTCTAATGTATTTATAACTCAAGATGTGTTTGCAGCTGTAATACCTAATATCTGTACATTGACCAGTGACCAAAGAACCAAACAAAACCCAGACCATGTCCAAAACATTATTTAAAACCAATATTCTAGGAAATCTTTGATCCAAAGAGTCATTATTTTTGCAAGATGATCTTTCTGGCAATGGTAAGAATCATTAATTATCCTGAGATAACACTTGTAAAGCATTTCTACAGTGCCTGGAACATAGGAGGCACTATATAAATGCTTACTCTCTTCCCCTTTACCCTGAGCTCACAGTTCATGTCCTGGGCCATGTCACCTAAGCAAATACTGTCAGCCCAAGTAATACAAGGAAAATGCCTCAGAACCAATGGTGACAGTGTCAGGATAATCCAGTCCAATCTTATCCAACCCAACAAGCATTTATTAAATATCTGCTACATGCAAGACATTGGGAACAAAAAGACAAAACAGAAATATATATACATATATATACACACACACACACATATGTATTCCTGGTCTGTAAGAAGTTTACATTCCATTGGGAGGATATGACATATAAATGTTTAGCATCCCTATTATTACTTCCTCAACTTATACTCACACTCAAGGATTGGGTCCCCAGAAGATGGTTGCTACCTGATACCTTTGACTCTGTGGATTTGAATGACTAATACTCTAGCTCATGAACCCCCACCAGTGTGCTTCCCGCTAACAATCAGTCAATAGATTAATTTGAAGAATTAGATTCAAAGAATGGAGTCTAGGGTTTTTGGTTTTTTTAGTGGGGCTGTATTTTGCAATTATTATTCCCATTTTAGTAAATGCCTCTTTTAAGAGCTAATTGATCTATTGACTGTTAGTGGGAAGCACATGGGTGGGGGTTAATGAGCTAGAGCATTATTATATATTATAATACACATACATACATACGCACACAGACACACACACACACACACACATATATATATATATATCATATTCATGGGAAAAGCAGACAAACTTAGAATAGACTGGGAGAGAGGCAGATGGGTGGGATACATGTAAAATTAATACATAACTTGTGGTACTGTAGGGCCTGGAAGTCCTTTTTCTATTCATAGATGTTTCATGGAATTCCCCTTGGATACAGCGTTTCTGCCTGGGGGGGTGGCTCAGTTGGATTGCCAAGGTCTGATCCTCTCCATAGCTGGACTCTTTTGTTTGTTGCCAGGAGTCACACTCCTCAACGCTATTTCTTTCTTTGGGTGGAAGTCTCTATATCTTTTTCTGTCTGGTATGTGTGTCTCTTTTCCCTGATGGATGCAATATCTCCTACTGGATGAGTAGTTCTGCTTTGAAACTACATGGTAAAGATATAGGGAGGAGATAAATTGCTTCCTCATTTTTTGCAGAGGTCTCTTCCACAGGTTGATCTCAACTTATCTGCCCATTATAATTTCCTGGATATCCAACAGGGACCTCAAATTCAACATATCATTAGTTTCTTGGAGCTCTCTTCATAGAGATCATAATTGAGCTCATGGGAGTAGATCAGCAAGTACAGAGGTATGCGGAATGAAGAGAAGAGGGTACAGAATGCCTTGGGGGAACATAAATGATGCTCCAACAAATGGAGACTGAGCAAGGCTGATCAAACAGGCAAGAGGAGAACCAAGTGAGACCAGTGTCACACAAACCTTAGGAAGGAGAGTGTAACCAGGAGGAAGGAGTGGCCAATAATACTGAATGCTGCCGAGAAGCCAAAAAGGATGAGGACTCAGAAAAAGCCATTGGAGTTAGCAATTAGGAAATAGCTATGACTTGGAGAAGGCAGTTTCAGTTGAGTAGTTGGGCTAGAAGGCAGACTACATGGCATTCAGAAGTGAATTGAAAGGGAGATGGTGGAGGCAAGGAGTATGGATGGCTTTTTCTAGGTCAATGGGAAAGCTTTTCATCTTTAGGAAGTCACAAATTATTTTTGTCTTTTAAAATGGAGCTTACTTTTGTTCAGTCATATTTCAATCATGGCCAACACTTCATGACCCCATTTGGGGTTTTCTTGGCAGAGATATTGGTATGGTTTGCCATTTTCTTTTCCAGCTCATTTTATAGATGAGGGAACTGAAGCAAACAGGGTTAAGTGACTTGCCCAGGATCATACAGCTGGTGTCTGGGTCAGATTTGAATTCAGGTATTCATTACTCTAGGCCTCATGCTTTGGCCTCTGTGCCACCTAGATGTCTTTTTTTCTAGGTCAATAGGAAATTTTTCATCTTCAGTTAGTTACAAGCTATTTTTGTCTTTTAGAATTGAGCTTGCTAGCTTTTAATATTTAATGCACAGATATCAAGGCTAAGCTTTTAGCTACTTGTCTCAAATAATAATAGCTTTGTTGTTGTTCAGTCATTTTTCAGTCATGACCCCATTTCATGACTGTAATAGTTTGTCATTTCTTTCTCCAGCTTATTTTACAGACGAAGAAACTGAGGCAAACAGGGTTAAGTGACTTGCCCAGGGTCACACAGCTAGTAAGTGTCTGAGGCTGGATTTGAACTCAGGAAGATGAGTCCAGGCCAAGCACTCTATCCACTGAACCACCTAACTGTACCAGTAATAGCTTACATTTATAAAATCCTTTACATATGTGATTTTATTTGATCCTCACCATAATCCCAGTGAAGTGGTAATTGCATTTCACATTTCACATATGAGGAAATTAAGACTCAAAGACCTAGACAACTTGTCTAACTTTATCCAGATATTAAGTAGCAGAACGGGGACCTGTCCCTATGTCCTCTAACTACACATACAATATTCTTTCCAGTAAATGTCAGCTTTTCTAGGTTACTTATTTTTCGGTTGGAATTATTTACAGACTGCAAATACACTACTTTTTTTAAAAAATCACTTTCTGGTTTTATTTTCCTCTTAGGGTTTTTGGATCTTCATCTATTTTCTACTTATAAGAGGAGAATAGACATATAATTATGAGGAACACCAGGGTTTCCACCCCCATTGAGTTGCTGCAAAAGTAATCTACAGTTGCCATTTTCAGGGGCCATGAATTCCATTCCATTCAATTGTTTATTAAGTGGCTACTCCCTTACTTTTTCTAATCCAATGCCTCATTGAGGGGTATATAGAAATGACTGAGTTTTCAAACACTACATCAGTGAAACATAGGCTCCAGTGAGTCCTACCTGGCCGGAATGGCTTTAAGAATGTGCCCACCCAATGAGGAACTGTGGTTGCTTTATCCAAGAACCAATTCAGTTTGTTACATGGGAAGAGGCTTATCAGAGAGTTGGTTACTAGGTGATGACTTTTGTAAAGTTACAACTTATTGGAACTAGGTACCAAGGCATACAAACGGCATCCTTGGAGGGAGGACCCATACTGATAAAATCTAGGATTATTTAAATAAGTATATCAAAGCTGTTTGAGGATAGTGTTTCTTAAACCGTGGGGAGTGACCTCATATAAAATTTGGCAACAGTAAAAGGTTTCTGAATGCACAATGACCAAAATTTAACTAAAAATCAAATTCGTAATGAATCTGAGATCTTTCTGGCAGCCCTTACCCATGCTACATGGCACAACTTCACTGCAGCCTGGTTCTGAATGCAAAGCAGGTGCACTTTGCGCTGCACATGCACTCAGGCCATGCAATACCGATAAAGCACTACCAAAAAAATGAGGAAAGGGGTCTCGAGTAGCAAAAGTTTAAGAAGCCCTGCTCTAGGTGTTGGAGCAGGTCAACAAGCATTTATTAAGTT